CCAGCTTTCACACCCATCACTCCACTGGAACTGTTCTTGTCAAGATCTCCACGGCTAAATCCAATGGTCTTTTCTGAGTTCCCATCTCGCTATCCTAATGTCAACGCTGACCCAGTTTAGCACTCTCTCCTTCCTTTCTTCGTTAGCCCCTAGGACACCCATCCACTTGGCTTGCCTCCCACCTCAGTGTTGGGTCCTTTTCAGCCTCTGACAGGTTACATATCTTCCCTCAGGTCTCAGGGCTTAGCCCTGGCCCTCTTCTCTACTCTTCCATACTCACTCCCTTGCCAACCTCCTCCAGTCTCAGGGCTTGAATGCTGCCTGTTTGAAAACACCTCCCAAATGTATGCCTCTAGCCCAGGCCTCCGTCCCGAAGTCTAAGTTTGTATATCCAATTACCTACTGAACATCTTCACCTGGAGAACTCATGAACAACACAAGCTCGCCTTGCCACCACCACTATGGAGACCTTGTGCTAAGTCCCATTCTTAGTGCTTGGGTGTCCCAACCTGAGGCCGAAGCAGCTGCCCTGGGTGCACACGGCCTCCGCTGTGACAGTGTGTGCTCTGTTGGTGGTGTCTTCATCACTGGAGGAATAATTTGTTATTGTTGAACCTTCGAGTGTTGGCTCTCGGGCTGATTAAATGGGCATCAGAGACCAGGAGCTTTCTCGGCCTGCGGAGTAAATGGACAACATGTTATGGAAGGACTTGCATCCAGCTTCCTGCTCACCATGGGAGGTTTGGGTTTCATAACCCTAGACCAGTGCACTGCCCCAAGCACTCCAGAACTCAGTAGGTTGCTTCTTCTGTTTGTTGGCTTCATCTGTGTCCTGTTGAGTTTTTTCATGGCTAGAGTGTTCACGAGAATGAAACTGCTGGGCTACCTGATGGCTTAGCGTGCCTTTTGAGAAGAGCTCTGTGGATACTGGATTTGCACCTGTTAATAAGGTTTAAAGGCTGCACCGATCCTCTGATATGAAACATGGACAACGATGAAAAGCAGCAGAAAAGAAGCACCCAGTAGAAAACACGGGAAGCATATTAAAGCACAGACTAGAATATCTTCTTGGTGTCAAAGAGACAAGCTTATCACGGTATTTTTTTCCTGGTGACATATACTGACATACCAGTGATGTTAAGTGGCATTTTCTTCTCAGTTTTTCATTTCTTAAAATATACTCCATTTATGTAATTATAATAATGAATAGAGTGATTCTTTTTTACAACCCTCAGAGTCACTCCAGGGCCCCTCTTCTTCTCTTTTCTCTCTACGCTTTTTCTCACGTGATTCCACTCAATAGTTTCAAAATAGTTTGAGATGGCTCCCAAATTGATATCTCCAGTATGGATGTTTCCACTCAAGTCCAGACACCCATAACCATCTTTCACCAATGTGTGGTTGAATGGCTCACCAGATTAATGAGTCCAAAATTAAATTTCTAGTTCAACCCCCTTTCTCACACTTCACCACCTTAGTGATGCCTTCATTGTGCATCTGATTGCTTAACCCACAAGTCCCAGAATCTTCACGATCCTTCCATTTCCCTCATCCATCACATTTACTCCATCAGAAAGCCTTACTGATTCTCGCTTCAAAACCTCTCTCAAATATGTGCGTTTCTTTCCATTTAAAATGCCATCAGCTTTGTCCATGCCATCATTTCCTCATCTCTCATCTAGTCTACTGAATAGTCTTCTTTTTTTGTTTGTTCACACCTTCTTGCTCCATTCACCCCACACAGAAAGTGATTTTTTTAAAAACCAGTAAGATTATTTCCTTACCCTTCCATGACTTCCTATTGCACTTAGAATAAAATCCAAACTTCTTACTATATCTTGTACAACTGGGCCCAATCTAGTCCCTGCTCAACTATACAGACCCTTCCCCCTTGCTGATCAATGCTTATTCCCATAGACTGCCTCAGTTCCTCAGACATAGCATGCTCTCCTGTTTCAAAGCAATTGAACATGATTAATAAAATTGTATAGGTTTCAGGTGTACAATTCCATAATACATCGTCTGAATCTTGTATTGTGTATGGACTGTTCTTAGAAGGAAAACAGAAAAATGGGAGGGATTTGAGATTTACATTAAAAGGGAAGAACAGACATAATAATAAATTCAGGTAGAATTCAAAATACAATGTGAATTGTCAACAAGAAAAACACCACCTAGCCTGACAGTGATTTTAACACATGTCCCACTTACCTGCAATCTGTCTTGGAACCACATGGCAAAATGGTTCCAAGGATTAAGGCATCTTTCCTTCCTTCAGAATTGCTCATTTGGGAGTTTTTAAAGGCCATGTGGTATAGAAATGTACATAGCTGTTCTGGCCAAATGCTGGGCGAGTTTACCATTACAATGAAGACAGAATATAATTTATTCTGAAAGGGATTTTAGGAGTAATCTAACAAAAATCCTATCACAGATGTGGAACTGTTATGGGAGAAATGTGTGGGTGGTCTTTCTCTGTTGCTAGTGGAAGCGGGGTCCTTATGATATCTTAAGAAAAAGAATTTTCTGAAGCTTGCACGGGAAGGTGAGTAATTTTTATTTGAGTGAAATTTACATCCTTGGGTTTCCAAAGTCCCATTTCCGTTAATCTAGTCCTGGGAGATGTGCAGCTGGGGATTCGGCAGAGCTAGAAGCAAAGCCAGTGTCCAAAGTTTCCGTTCCATGTTGGGCTGGGTCCGGTGGGGCACGAGGCTAGTTGCAGTCCATCAGTCCATTGTGTGTGGGGCCCACATGGCTGTGCACCATGTGGGCAAATGCAGGAGCATGAGAGCCCCACAAACCAGGAGTCAAGCTCAAGCTGTCGACCTAAAACTGCTCTAAAAAAATAAAGTCTAACATGTTATCATGAGCATCCTATTATATAAAACTATTTGCACGTTTCTATTTCCTTAAGGTAAGTTCCAGTAAGCGGAATTGTCTGGTAGAGTATGCTCATTTACCACTTGTGTTGTCAAACTTCCCTCCAGAAAGTTTTTGATAACTTACATTCCAACTAAGAGAGTTGATTTTTGAACCCTGACTCAAAATTGCCAGTATTGTTTCACTACACGCCTCCATTTATCCCACCCCAAAAATAGTGCTGTAAAAACATTATTGAATGTTTCTATCCACAACATTCCTATTTGCTTAACTACAATGTAGTACCAAATTCACTGTGTCTTTTGATTACCAATTGCATCTCTGAGAAAATGTATGCCATGCTAATTTGTCTTTATTTAAAATTTCAAAGAAATTCCCACATGGGCCCCAGATGTTGCCCATTTAATGTAAGAAGGTGTTTCCTCATTATACAAATATGGTATGTGTCCAAAATATTGACATTGTTTAGTTTATGAATCAGTTAAAATAACTGTATCACAAAAAAACAATGGTTCATGTGTGAGTCATAAATTAAACAATGCCAATTTCTTGATGTGCACCATATTTGTATAATAAGGAAACACCTTCTTGGATTAAATGGTCAACATCTGGAATCCATGTGAAAGCTTTAAAAAATTAGTCCTATATTTTTCTTAAATTTTCCCAGTGTAGAAAGAAATCCTAAATGGACGCAATTTTCACAAAAATTTCTCTGCTCCAAATATTCTTACAACTAGTGCATCTGCATCTCTTGGTTGGTATAAAAGCTTAAGCCAAAGTATTATGTCAAATTCCATTACAGGGAATGCAAACAGAAGTGTTTTTTGTTTATTCTAGCTATTTTGCTGTGATATTGTAGAATACAGTTATAGTGAGTTGAATAGTGGTTCCCAAATAACTATGTCCATGTCCTAACTCCTGGAACCTGTGAACGTGACCTTATTGGAAAAAAGGCCTTTGCAGATGCAATTAAGGTAAGGATTTTGAGTGTGATCACCCTGGACTTAGAGTTGGCTGTAAAACCAATGACAGGTGTTCTTAAAGGCAGAGGGAAATTTGTGACACACACAGGAGAGAAGACCATATAAAGTCAAAGGTAGAGATTGAAGCCCAAGGCAAAGAACTCTTAGAGCCACCAGAAGCTGGAAGAGGCAGCTTCCTAAAATCTTCAGAGGGACGAGGGCCCTGCTGACATCTTGATTTTGGATTTTTTACCTCCGTGTGAAAAAAAACATTTCTGTAGTTTTAAGCCACAAAGTTTGTGGATATCTGTTATGGCAACCCTAGGAAACTACAATGAAAATTCATAGGAATAGGATTAGATGTGTATCATGAATTAATTATATCACTGTATTTTATTAGAATTTGACGTGCTTGATTTTTCAGCTTTCAATTAGAATCAAGCACTTGATGGTTCTACTTTGTGTTTAAATAACATTAAAGGCTCCCCTTTAATCTTGGAATGTTCTGATCCCCAAAGACCCTCCCCATAATTTCAAAAGTTGTTCAAAGTTGTTCAAGCAACTTTGAGAGAATATCCATAGAGTTGTGACATCCGATGGATTCTGGACTAAAAATGCAAAGCAGCCTTATCATCTCCATCTTCGAATGGTGACATGCCAGGTACCCATTAGTTTTCTTGACTTCAGTGTATGTTGTGGACAAAAATCCATACTTGAAAAAGCTAAATAATGTATCAATGTGATTGTAAAGCAAAATTAAATAGTGGTAGAATATTACCCTACTTTAGTATGTTTGCTTCTGGCTATGTACTGAGATCCAAGTGTATACACTCCCTTGGATTTTGAATTAATGGGGCATGTTTTGCTAAACTTCACAGTGGCTTTTGGGAAGAGGCTCTCCATTTGGTATACTTGGCGCTCCTTGATATTCAACACCACTGAAAGTATAAGCCCAAATTCCCTGAATTTTCATTGTTTTATGTTTGCTGCAATTTCATTGAGTTAAAAGAAATTATAACCACCAGACTGTTATTCTTCAGTACATTTTATGGTACAGGAGCCCATGATCATTCTTTCCATGACCTACCACCTCCCGGCCTTGTCCACTGATCCACCTCAAGTGAAGGAACAACAATGGAATATTACACAACCATCATAAACAATTTCAGAGAATCTTTAATGGCATGGGCAAATGTTCTCTCTATAGAGTTAAGTTTAAAAAAGCAGGATACTCTGGATTTACACTATGATCCAAATTTGTTTAGACATACATATATTTACATATACATTCAAAAGTGAAAAATTTTCACAAAGACCTAAATTGGCTATCTCCAGGTGACAGAATTACACTTAAATTTTTCTGTTAACTATTTTCAGGTGTGTTCCTTTATAATGAGCATGTATAACTTTTGTAACCGAAAATAATAATGTAATGGAACCCAACCAACAGCTGGAAGCTAAGAACCATCTTTATGGAGATAGTGCTATGCCCTTAAGGTAGATGATTATTAAACAAGGTTGTTTATTTCAGAAATGATTTATAAAAGATATAAATTAATTCTGCAAAATATTCAAGAATGTTCATCATCCCCCCCCCCCCATGTTATTTCTTTTACTTCACTCTTCCCACCAACCATGAGTACAGGCTGATCTGAGGCTGAGAAAGTAGAAAGAAGAAAGTAGAGGGTAGGGTGCACTATGAACAGAAGGAAGTTACTGAATTCTTCCCCTGCACTCTTTCTAACTCCTCTTTGAACCAATGCAACTGAGTAGAGATGGCATAGACCTCCAGCAATGCCAAGTAGCCTGTATTTTTCTCAATAGTGGAGCACTTAACCCCATCACCACCACCACTGCAAATGAAGAGATGGGGTTTTTGGAAGATGTTAAAATATTACTTTTTGCCCCAAATGTACTGGTTCCAGTCCCTGGGAGCATAGAACATTTCGAACATTGTCTGGCAAGATGACTAGATTATAAATTCCTTGAGGGCAAGAACCATGTTCTCTCATTTGTTTATATAGAGCTTAGGACAATGCCTCACACATAGTGCCCAGTAAGTGTTGAAATCCAGAAAGAAAAAATATTTTTATGGATTTCATATGACTGCAGAGACAGTGTCTAAAAAGCTAATGAACACAAAGTAAGCTTTGTTGTACTAAAAGGCATCAGAATGGGGAGTGAGGGGGCCAGAAGGAACGTGTGGTTTGGACAACCATATTTGTGATTTTATATTTTAAAAGTAAAAATTAAAAAGTAAGAATCATATGTATATTAAAAAGTAAGAATCATATGTATATTAAAAAGTAAGAATCATATATATAATGATTCTCAGGGGTAGAAAGGGAGGTGTGGATGTTGAAGAGTATGTATGAAATATATGTCCAAATCTGAGCACATACCCAAAATTGATTGGAAGGTATGGCCTGTTCATGCATATGGATTTTTTAAAAGTCTGAGAATCACTGGCCTCAATAACTGGGTTCCCCACTCAAACCACCTCATTCCTAAGAAAATAGAGTTGCCTTTTAAACATCAATAATCGTGGCTTTCTGTTTCCACATCCGGTGATCATTCCTCTCCTGCTTACATACTCCTAGCCCTTTATATTTAGCTTTATAAAATAGCCATCTTTATAAATGCTAGAGGATGGTGCTCATCATTTTTTCTTCTCATCTGTTTAAGATCCATTTGACAATTTCCTTAAAATTTTTAAAATACTTTTGCCTCAGGCTTCTATGGTGCTGGTGCTTACTACAACAGTGTTTGTCTGGAAAGCAATGAATACACTAATATGTGATCGCATGTAGAAAAGGAGTCAGCATTTAGATAACAGAAGAAAATATACATGTAAGTACACTGTAGGTGGATGGAAGGTTAGCAGAGCACAAATTAAGAGAGAAGGGAGACCCTTGTCAACTAGAATATCAAGCTCAGCAGTTTTTCCAACAATTCAGGTAAGTGAAGGCCAAGTAAAGAAGTAGCGGGAATATGTGTGTGCACCGTGTGTATGTGCATGTGTGTGTCTCCTAAGTACTCCTAATATATTCATCTAAAGAGGATTTTTCCTAAGCCTTAATGCGTTCCGAAGTAGAAACCAATTAGATTTATTTGTATATTCAAATATGAAGCCAGTCTTACAAAGGGACACCTCTGCTGAGTCTCAGAGCTTGGGGTGAAACCCTGGGGGAAGATCATTTAAGTACCAATTAGCTCCCTTCTAAAACCTGGGTGATCGATGGCCATGACAGTTTCTCTCACTTGATTTTCAAGTTATTCTCAACAGAAATTAACCCTAGATAAGTACTTTTTAGCAATGAGTGATTAAAAAATACATTTCCATTTCACATTCCTTATAGGCTTAATCTCTATAGAGGCTTCATAATTAATGGCTTTTGCAATTCTTTCTCTAAACTTTAAAATGAATAGAAAAGAGAATACTGAAGAGAAAACCATTCCCCAAATAAGAACTAGTAAAGTACAATGTGGTTCTGAATTTCTTTAATAAATTTCAAGGCAACCCTCAAAATGTTACGTCTTACAATGCATCCCATAGTGGTGCACCCCCACATGGTTGGTAAGATTTCAAGATTTGAAATTTGATGGCCAGGGTCCAAATTCCATTTATTAACCTCATGACCATGGGAGATCACCCTAACCACAGTGCCTCAGGCCCCTCGTCTGCGTAACAGGAATCCTGACAGCAATAGTGCCTAGTCAGAGGGTTATTGTCATAAGGATTAAATGAGTTAATCCACCCTAAGGGCATAGCACAGTCTCTAACACATAGAAAGGACCCAATAAATGTAAATGAGGTTAACATCACATAAATCATTTTTCAGGGTGATCATTTCATAAGTTGTATAAATGTCTAATTACTATGTTGTACACCTGAAATAACTTAAAAATTTTTTAAAAATTAAAATGTTTAATTTGTTGTCAGAAGATCCCTACCTCCACTTCCCACAAAGAGGCACTGAATGAAGCTTCTTCCAAGATGACTTTTAGATAAAAGATCTGGTGATAAAGACACAGGGTAGCATACACCCATTCAAATTCCATTCATAGAAAACAACTTCCTGATGCTGACTACAACTATTCTGAAATATTACTTTTTTTTATTGTTGACTCTATCACAGCTGTCCCCCATTACCCCCCCTTTACCTCCCTCCACCCTGTCCCTTACGGTTGACATTCAGTATTATAGTTTCAGGTGTACAGCACAGTGGTGAAATATTCTCTTTTCTAAACCCTCCAAGTCTACAGTTAAGAACATAAGCAAATTAGAAGCCACTCTCTATGTAGCTTTCTCACTAACAAGATTCTACATCACGAACTTCTAATAATGTTTCTTGTCTGCAGATTAATAACCTAGTTCAAACCACATCATTTCCTTTTCTCTGCCTCATTTCCTTCAAAGTAAAACATAATTTTTTCTTGGACCTGGAATAAAAATTCTAGATTAAGCAAATCGTCACCAGAAAGGCAATTTTATAATAACACTATTTCAGGGTTCTCAAAAACATAAAACATCTGTGTGGTGTTTGTTAATGCATAAAAATAACCTAATACATATAATGTATACCGCCTAAGTGGAAAATCAAGTCTATAACTAGAAGTACATAGAGAAATCACTATAGATTCCATTGGTATTGTGTTCTCAAGTCCAGTTGGGAACATTTAAAAAACTGTGTCACTTCTATAAGTCCTAGCCAGAGATCACAAACTGCTTGACACAGATGTTTTGTTCGGCCAACACAGTATTTTAAAAAATTCAAATATCTTTAGGTGGTTCATGCTTTTTTTTATCTGACAGGCCCTTAAAGCCATTTTACTTTGCAAACCCTGATTAAGGCCCATCCATACAGAGAAAAGCCCAAAGGATACTAATTGGTTAAATGGGTAGCTCCCTCACTGATGGCCTGATAAAGTCCAGAGACTTGGAAATTAAGAATACTAATAGCTACATTCAGAAATTCTTCCAGTTTGTTGGATTAATTTTAAATATATACTGTCAATGTGTATATCTAACAGTGGCTCATTTGATTAGGACTGCTGACTTGCTAAAACTCATTTACAGCTGGATACTGAATGAAACCAGAAAATAGAAAAATTTTAAAAACATGTACTGATGATATAAAAATCTGGACTAAAGTCAAACTTTTACATTATTTTTTAAAAATTAATAAAATTTGGTCAATGGCTGGCTTTTCTTTATATAAAAGGAAATGAATTTGCTTGATGCAGTATTTAAAGAGGAACTGGTGTTTCTCCTAATGTAGTTTAATGAATATTTATATATATACACACATAGAGACACATCATATATACACATAATCAGACTGAGCCAACTCTTACTCTCATTTTTTTTCACTTCCATTGTACTTTCTAGGAGATACTATTCCACATACAAATTAAGTCTGAGTCTAAGACCCAAACAACAGAGCACTGGAAAGGGTTTCCTAAAGCATTAGTTCATGCATCACTCCAGCGGTGTTAGGTTTTAGGCACTGACGAGGCACAAGCTAGCTCGTTTTAGAGTCCAAACATTATTAGTTCAGTGTTCTCTTAAATTAACGTGGAGGAATGCTTCCATTCAGATGGCCCTGGTAAGTACACCCTTGTCTGCAGCTTCTTCAGAACACAAAAGTAAGGCACCTTGCAGTGAGTTTGCTTCTGGGGGCTGTGCCCCCGAACTCTCCTGGGTTAGTCTTTCTGGAGGTTCTGGTGAATTCTCCCTCCATCGCGGACTCGAGTGCTGTTGGGAGATGTCCCAGAGTGAAGGACATGGAGAAGGGTAACCCAGAGCGGATCGGGAGAGGGCATCCTCTTGCAGGCCTACTTCTTGGACACATCTGTTGGAAAGCACTTCCTTTTCTTTGGAATTCCGCCACTTCATCCTTCTGTTCTGAAACCAAATTTTCACCTATTGATGAAATAATTGGATAAAATGTTCACTTGTTCAACAGTAATTCACTTCAGCATTTTACACTGTAATTTCTCCCACTGTGCCTTCTACAGACTACCTCACTTTTAGAGCCAGCCTAGCAAAGTCCTTGTGGCTTTTCACATGGGCTCCTTCAAAAATATCTGTGAGATTACGTTAGTAATAATATCCCCACATACAAAACAACTGTGGTAAATCAGTTACATCCTGTTAGTCTGACATCTTTCAAGACTGATTTAACTCTCTTCAGTATTTTAAATCATTTAGTCTGTGTGTCCTAAATTATTTATTCAAAGGAAATGTTATCTACTAGTGATAGCATCTGAGTGTTTATTTTGTACCAGGTGAGACCACGCACTCTACATGGATGACAGAATTTGAATCTTACAGTGTCTGCAAGAAGTCCTCATTAACATGCAAGAACACTGAGGGTCAGAGTGATAAATCAGTTCAAGGTCACAAACAGCTCAGACTATAATACACGACTGTCCCGCTCTAGTGCCAGACTCTTACAAGCATTTGGATCTCTTCAGGAACTTTTGGAGACTAAATTAAGAATACATTTTATAATGTTTTGATAAACTTCAGGCTTTATACAGTTTCCAAGTTTGATTAGTCCCAGAATTTATCATACTTGAATAATTACGCTCACTAGATAACAACTGATTGCAATGAACCCAAAAGTACTTATGATGGTGGTTTCTAATTTGAGCCACGCCTTCCCACCACCCGCTTGAGCCTCTAACCTCCCTCTTTACCTACGGTGCAGTCAACTGCGCCTGGGCAGAAAAGTTCACAATTGGCTTTCTAATATCTTAAAAGCAAATCACATTGTTTTCCTGTCATTACATTACATCCTCATACAATTTAGTAGATATCTATTTTTGAAACAAAACCTGGAAATTTTTTACCTAAAGAAATAATTATTAAAATATATCCATCAAAGATGTCCCCCTTTTTTCCCCATTGTCCTCCCTCCTCCCCATTCCCATCCCCTCCCCAGGCCTTCACCCTACTATTGTCTGTGTCCATGGGTTATGCATGTATGCATAATACTTTCAACAATAAATTTAACACATACATATATAAACATATATGTAAACATATATTAACATATATACATACACATATACACACACACATATATATATATTTGATTTTATATATATATATAAAATCAAATACTTCTCCCAGTGAAGGAAAAACTTGAGGTAGTCTTTTCAGACTGACAAAATAATGTCTTCATTCTTTCAACTTGACTGGCAATATTCAAAATGACTACAAAAGAAACCTACCCCAGGCAACTAAGTCCAAAAGACTGCCATCCCAGCTATAATCCCGTGATTAAGGCTTTTCTTAAGAAAACAGCACTAATGTGTACATACCAGAGCATTTGGTTTCATTCATGAACTCATTTATTATTTTCAGTGGGCTTTTATTCCTAGAAAGCCTCCCTGGTTATTTTTAATGGGTTTTCACTAAGCCCATTCTTTCTTTTCTCATCACATTCATTATGTTCTTCTTCCCTTAGCTTTTCTGTATATCTAGAAACTTTTTTGAGCAATATCTCAATTCAAAAATCATGAAAGGAGTTTCTTTACAATCAATGGTATTAGGCAAATGTATATTTGGGGGAAGTCGTAAAATAAAAGTTCTACCTCTCGACAAATACAAAAACAAATTCCCCATGGATTAAACAGCTAAACATGAAAACAAAACTATAAAAGTTCTAGAATAAAATATGAGAGATTATCACTATACTCTTAGGAGATGAATGTTTTCTTAATGACATAAAACATGGAGGCTACAAATAAAAAGGTAGAGCTGACTACCTAAAAATAAATTTATATACAAATGGATACACCATAAACATATGAAGAAGCCATAAACTACCCAACAGAATTAAAAGGAGGGACTCAGAGCTTTTTAGTTTTATGCTGTCCCATTTGCGTACCTTTGCTTTTGCTGCCCTTGCCCAAGGAGAAACATCTAAAAAGATATTGCTAAGACCAATGTCAAAGAGTTCTCTATGTTTTTTTCCCAAGGAGTTTTATGTCTTCAGGTCTTATATTGAACTCTTTAATCCATTTTGAGTTTATTTTGTACATAGTGCAAGAAAGTGGTCCAGTCTCCTTTTTTTTTATATGTCTGTTCAGTTTTCCCAACACCATTTATTGAAGATCCTGTCTTTACCCCATTATATATTCTTGTCTCCAGTGTCATAAATTAACTGACCGTATAAGTGAAGGTTTATTTCTGGGTTTTGATTCTGTTCCATTGATCTATATGTCTGTTTTTATGCCAGTATCATACTGTTTTCGTTATTATAGCACTGTAGTATAGTTTGATACCAGGAAGTGTGATATCTCCAACTTTGTTCTTCTTTTTCAAGATTGCTTTGGCTATTTGGGATCTTTTGTGGTTTCGTATAAATTTTAGGATTACTTGTTCTCCTTCTGAGAATGCCATTGGGAGAAGATATTTGAAAATGATACATCTAATAAGGGGTTAATACCCAAAATATATATGGAAACCATACAACTCAAATTAAAAAAAAAATGAGCAGAGGATCTGAATAGACATTTCTCCAAAGAGGACATACAAATGGCCAAAAGATATATGAAAAGGTGCTCAATATCATGAATTGCCAGGGAAATGTAAATCAAAACCACCTCACACCTGTCAGAATGGCTATCATCAAAAAGTCAACAAATAGCAAGTGTTGACAAGAATGTCAAGGAAAGGGAACTTCCATGCGCTGTTGGTGGGGTTACACATTGGTGTAGCCACTATGGAAAATAGTATGAAGATTCCTCAAAAAATTAAAAATAGAACTACCATACCATCCAGCAATTCTACTTCTGGGTATCTACCCAAAGAAAACAAAAACACAAATTCAAAAATATATATTCACCTCCATGTTCATAACATTATTTACAACACCCAAGATATGAAAGCAACCTAGGGGTCCATTGATAGATAAATGGATAAGGAAGATTATATATATATATATAAACTTGAATATTAGTCCAACAAAAAAGAATGAAATGTTGCCATTTGCAACAACATGGATGGACCTAAGCAGTGATTTTCAACTTTTTTCATTTCGTGGCACACATAAACTAATTACTAAAATTCTATGGCACACCAAAAATATATTTTTTGTGGATCTGACCAAAAAAATACATATAATTTTGATTCATTCACACCAGACAGCTATTGCCATTTTTTATTTGACAATCTAAGGGAAGAGAATCAGTGCCCTGACTAAATAGTCAGGTATTACACGTTTTAAAAATTCTTGCGGCACACCAGTGTGCCATGACACATCAGTTGAAAATTACTGACCTAGAGGGCATTATGCAAAGTGAAATAAGTCAGACAGAGAAAGACAAATACTGTACAGTTCCACTAATATGTGGAATCTAAAAAACAAAACAAAACAAATGAACAAACAAAACCAAAGAGAAATGGACTCTTAGATACAGAGAAAAAAACTGATGGTTGCCAGAGGGGAGGTGGGTAGGGGAATGGGTGAAGAGCGTGAAGGGAAATAAGAGGTATAAACTTCCAGTTATAAAATAAATAGGCCATGTGGAGTATACAGGACAGGGAATATAGTCAATAATACTGAAATAACTTTGCACGGTGACAGATGGTACTAGACTTACTGTGGTGATCACATCATAAGGTATATAAATGTCAAATCAGTATGTTGTGCACCTGAAACTAATATAATATTGTATGCCACCTATAATTTTTCAAAAGCATGGACTCGAAGAGATATTTGTACACCCATGTTCTTAGGAATATTATTCACAAAAGCCAAAAAATGGAAGAAACCCAAGTATCCACTGATGGATGAATGGATAAGCAAAATGTACTAAATACAATGACATAGTATTTTCTGTGTAAAAAGTAAGAAAATTCTGGTATATACTACAACATGAATGAACCTTGGAGACATGATGCTACATGAAATAAGCCAGTGACAAAAGGACAAATATAGTATGATTGCACTCATATAACTCACCTAGAGCAGTCAAATTCACAGGGACAGAAAGTAGAATGGTGGTTGCCAGGGGCGTGGGGGAGGGAGGAACAGGGAGACATGGTTTAATGGGAGGAGAGCTTCAGTTTTGCAAGGTAAGAAAAGTTCTAGACATGAATGGTGGTGATGGGGGCTCAATAATGTTCATGTACTTATTGCCACTGAATTGTGCATTTAGAAAAGGTTAAAATAGTAAATTTTATGTTATGTCTATTTTACAATAACAAAAAAAGCCACAAGCTGGGAGAGGATTTTTGCAACAGCTATAACAGGAAAATGTTATTAACCATAATATTCCAAAATTTTGATTAACAGCCAAAATAACTGCTACATATCAACAAAAAGACAGTATGACCGAAAAAAATGGTTCGGCCATGAAGAAGCCAACTCACAGATTAAAAATAGCCAGTAAAATTATTAAAAGACCCTCAAGTTCTGGTAATTCGGAAAATTTAAAAAAACAACATTGCCAATGAAGTTGGCAACATTTTTAAAAATTAGAAATAGTGGAGGATTTGCAAAAAGGGATTGTTATTAAAAGTGAAAATTTGATATAATTCAGTATTTTGATACAATGTAATATTTGGAAAGGAATTTTTTAATCTATCACAATTTAAAATGTACATACACTTTAACACATAAATTCCACTCGTAGTTCCCTATCTTATGGAAATATTTTAAAAGTGCATGAAAATATGCAATAGTGAAACCTGGAAGTAACTTAAAGTTGAGAATGGCTAAATGAATTATGGTTTATCTATGCAACTGTCTGTATGAGATACTAAAAAAGAATGAAGTAAATTTGTAAGTACTGACATGGAAGGATGCACCCCATGACATCTGAATGGGGGAAAAAGCAAAGTGCAAAACAATAGGCATTGTCAGCAGCATTTTTTATAACAGCCAGAAACTGGGAACAACCCAAAGGCCCACCACAAGAATGAATAAACTGTCATATGCTGTGATGATGCACAGCAATGACCACAAATGAGCTACAGGTACACGCCCCAACACAGATGACTCTCACAAACGCTAAGTAAAAGAAGCCATATACCAAAGAATGTGTGCTAGATGATTCTATTTACCCAAGAACGGGCAAAGTTGATCTATGCTGTTAGAAGTCAGGCTAGTGGAAGGAGTAGGCAGTGACTGGGAGGGGACAGGATGGGAGCTACTGGCCCAGGCAATGTTCTGCTGTGTGATCTATGTGCTGTTATACATGTGATCTGTATTATCCTTCAGAAAAAGTTCAAATGATATGCACAGTATCATCCCACTTAAATTTTAAAATATACATACCCTGTTCTAGGTCTCAGCTTCTTCATTTGTAAAGTAGTGATAATAAAAACAGCTATCTCAGAGTCATTGCAAGGACAAATGACATCACATGGAAGGGCACATGGTAGTCATTATGCAAGTGTTTATGCTATAACATGTTAGTGCATATATAAAACACAAATTTATTTTTAAAAACATACATGATGTCAATACAGTAGAACAGGAGCCATTTAAAAATGATAGGAGTTGGACTGTTAACTTTTCCAATCTCTTTTGTTTGAATTTACCGTAAGAAATATCATGTATTAATTGTGTAATTAGATATGCATGCAAATAAGAAAATGTTAAATTACTTCTGAGCTATTCACCAAATTCAATAAAATACACAGCATTCATTCCTGAGGTACTTAAGTTTTAAAAACAATGTAATCAATTATGTAAAACTATGTGCCTATGGATGGGAACTGGAAGATAACAAACAGGAAAGTAGTTTGTCTTCTTAGAGTGGAGAGATTATGCTCAACCCCTCATAAATATTCTTTAATGTGCTTGTTGCATTCTCTTTTCTATAGTCAATTTTTAAGAAGACCATATACTAGCAGAGATATTTGCCCTTTCTCAGAGCACCATCAGATCAAACCCAGCCACTTTTCATCTTTTACTACAGCAGTCCCCTGACCTCCCGAACCTGCACATTTTCTCCCCTGACTCTGGAGCTTCTTACCGATACCAATGCGATGCACACCAGCCTACCAAGGCCCCTCGTGGTCCTCACTCAGGCCCCACAATTCCTCTGAGGATCAGGCAGTTCCATCGCCAGACTCCCCCCAGGTGTATGCGGACCGGTCATTCAGCTGTCCTTTCCAGAGATGGAATGATTGTAGGCTCTAGAGACACATAACTTTGGGGACCACTGATCTAGCTCCTTTATTTGGCAGTATATCTAACCAACCAGGTGATGTCTCCCCCACTATTGTCTTACATTGTTATTGGACTGTTCATGAGCTTCTGCTTTGTTTTCCAGTTGGTTGTATAAATTCCCAGGATGCAAGTGGTGCATCTTAATCAGTGTTTATCGATATTCCCTCTTACTGCTTACCTAGCAAGGTAGACCATCAAAATATAGTTACTGATTTATCCGTCATGCACCCAAAACTGTTCTGTGACATAGAAAAGTTTCTACACTGTTACCTGTTTTTTAAGTTAGAACCTGAGGTACAGAGCAGTCGGTTAAGGTTAATGAACTCATTAGTACCACACAATGAGCGAAGCACAGAGTGGCTGGTATAGGCCAATAACCCTCTACCACACCACATACTGCTTCCTACCAGCAGAAAAAGTTGGGGGTGGGGAGTGGAAACAGATCGCTTCCCTAGGGAAAGCAAGCAGAGTTAAGGAGAGTTTCATCCAAAGGTAACTGGTTTAAATAAAATCCAAAGTTAGCAACCAAGTCATTTGTATCAAAGAAGAGAGCATGGTGGTGAACACAGAGCCTCTGCTAGCCCTTGAGTGCTTTCATGCTGATTTTTAAAATCCAGGTGTATGAAGCCCTGTCCCTGGAAAGCCAGCTTGGAAAGCAGAGTGCTTGCTGCCTTCCAGTCACTGCCATCCCCCTTAGCCAGCGCCCTTGTGCAGTGGATATCCTTCACAACTGTACACACTGGTTCTAGGTTGGGGAGAAGGCAAACTCCAGAGTCAGGCTGCCTGGGGTGGGACACTGGGCCTTCTCTACATTTCCTTCTCTATAAAACGTGGATGATGATAGTGTTTATTTCATATGGTAATTCTAAGTATTGAATAGGAAATGCTAAGTATCTTATTTATAATTAGCTGGCCAGTCTCTAAATGGAGTATTCTGTAATTCCAAAAAGGTCACAAAGTCAAAATTATATGAAACATGGATGTACAGGAAAGGTTTGTAAGTGTAGCAAATTTGAAATTACTTAACTATACTTGACATAACCCAAAGTGCAAAACAATGAAATCTATGAAGAGGTATTTATGAGTCACTCATTCATACCTTGGTTTGGGATTAAAAATGAAGAAAAAGACAGGAAAACTGGTTCCTGTTTTTATAGTGAATTAAGTAGCCTGCTTTTCTACAAAACAGAGCAAACAATTGATTGATGTAAATGCCACATCCTTAGTGCGTATGTTTATTTGGGAAGAATTAGTAAGGCAAAAACCTAGACCTCTCAGCAAATGGATCCAGTTCCAAATAGGAATTGGGACCTATATTTCCACCCACTAAAAAAATTATGAAAATCATTTCAATTATGCTTCAGGGTTCAGCCTAGTACAACAAAGATTTGCCAAACAGCTTTCATTGTATCCCTTCAGAAATCAGGAGCAGTGCACATCTTCCTGCTCCTTGGTACCTGTGATTCCTTTAGTCCCAAGTTGATGGCCAGTTTCTTTCGGTCTATTTTGCTGATATATTTCTGCTTCTGAAACATTTTCTCCAGAGCCTTCCTCTGGTCCTCAGAAAAGACGGCTCTTCTTAAAATACCCCTTCGAGCTTTGGAATTAGAGTCCTGTGTCAGGAGGGGCAGCACGCTCTCCTCCCCTAGAGAGGGAAGAAAGATACAAAGTCCAGTTAATTTTAGTGGAGAAGCCAGCCTGTCTTTCCCCTTCTGTGTCCTCCTTGTCTACACCTTGGCCAAGTTACCTAGCCTCTGAACTGAGCTCATGCAGAGCAGAGCTGCTTTTGGTTGTTGACTCTGTTAAGACTCTGATCAATGCTCTTTGCTCCCCACTGGGGAAAAAGTACATCTGCTTGCCCTCCCAATTTTGTGTCCCATGTTAGAAAGCCCATGGTCCCAGGTAACAAAGCTCCAATGCAGAACAAGCAGTAGGTAATTTGAACACTTTGCCTTTCTCTAATTCTTCACATATTTATTCATTCATTTATTCTCTCAAGAAATTTTTCAACACTGACCATATGCCAGGCACCCTTTTCAATGTTACAACACTGAGAAACAAGACAGATATGCTTTATCACATTCATTACCTGTGAAATCTAGTGAAAGGCATTGATTGAACTAGCATCATGAGAATAATGAAGTATTCCGAGGGAGGGTACCTTAAGAGCACAAAACGAGGGGTCTGATGTCAGGGAAAGCGTGTAAGAGTCACAGATGTTTTTTCTGAGAAGGGAGGTTTGGAAGACCCCCCCAATCACCACCACTACTCCCAAGTCAGTTGATCACCAACTCCTTCAGGTCTGAGACATTTACTATTTTTTCTGCCTTTCTGTAGCAAGCACAACACTGCTTCCCACCCTCTGAGAGTGTCCTTCATCATTCACTCATTCATTCGTTCATTCAACTTCCTAGCTGTGGCAGGCAGAATGGTCTTCCCAAAGATACCCATGTCCTGATCTCCAGAACCTGTGAATATGCTACATTACATGGTAAGGGGGAATTAAGGTTACAGATGGAATTACAGTTGCTAATCAGTTGACCTTGAGATTAAGAGAGTATCCTGGATTACCCAGGTAGGCCCAAGATAATTATGAAGGTCCTTCTAAGTGGAAGAGGGAGGCTAAAAAAGAAGCCAGTCTGAGAGAGATTTGAAGATGCGATACTATAATTCTTGCTTTGGAGACGGAGGAGGATGGGACCATAGCCAAGAAATGGAGGCAGCCACTGGAAACTGGAAAAGGCAAGGGAGCAGATCCTCCCCTAGAGCCTCCAGAAGGAACACAGCCCTGCTGACCCCTTGATTTTAGTCCAGTGAGGCCATTCAGGGTCCAAGCTTCCATAACTGTAAGGTAATGAGTTTGTATTGCTTTAAGATGCTGGGTTTGTGAAAATTTGTTACAGTAGCAAAAAGACACTAATACACTGGATATCAGACTCACTGGGTTAATTGCTAAGGAAACCAGACAATTATCACATGGTCTCTGCCCTCATGGGAAGACTGACACATGACCATCACTCCAGAAATAGGCACCAGGGGAGCAGCAACTCCAGTTTATGGCTGTGGCTGGTACACATTTTTGTGCTTAATAATTATTTCTAAGTAAATGAGCAAACAAACAGACATTGCATACAGACATAAGTACTAGAACAGAATGATCAGTGAAAGGCTCCAGCACCGCAAAGGAGGAAATGGTGAGTTCATGGAAAATAGTCAAGTTGAGCCAAGTCTAAGAAAATAAACCAGTTCAAAGGAGAAAACACCAAGACCAATCCAGGCAGAGCGACTGGCACATCTAAAAGCACTGTGGCACAAAGGAATAGTCTGTCCAAGGGTAAGTAAGCAGCTGCACCGCTGGGGAAGGGCGTGAAGCAGGGAATGCAAGCTGACAACCATAACAGCCCGTAGGTGGGCTCTGTTTGGTTTTAGTGTTGATTAAGAATTCTGATTTAATTGTCCACATTTAATAACTGGGAGGTTTCATGTGAAGTCCAAGTTTCCAACATCTCTTCAAAGGGAACCACACTGGGCTCACTCTCCCACAAAGCAAATGGCTACCAGAGAGGGTAGCAGGTGCTCCCTTTAGATGGAGCATGTGGTCCCCCATCTGCCAAAGGCTCACCTAGCTTGCTTTTTACCTGCCAGGCTCTGGAAGACATCTGGACCTCTGGCGTAGGGATTATGGAGTGGAATCGAGCCCTATCACAGAGGACTTCAGAGTATGGGACATTATCCAATAAGTAGTGAAGATCTAACACTGTTTTAAGCTGCTGACATGCATCATTTCATTTAATCCTTTCAACCAATCGATGCTATGAATGCTACTATCACTATCCCCATTTTATAGATGAATAAAATGAAGCTTAGGTAGTTTAAGTAACTTTATCTGAGGTCGCATGGGCTAGGGTTTCAAACCCAGGAAGACTGATTCCAAAACAACAGCTCCTAACCCAACACAATACTCACACATTCCGACTTGTATTTTAGAAAAAGAATGTCAATAAATAAGCAAATCTTGTTAATTCTACTCCTGTAATATGATAGCCCCCTTTCCTATTTGTCTAAAAGGCTGCAAACATCTCCCAGCCAGTCCCTCAGCCCTGGGTTACCACTCATTCTGGTTCATCCTCACGTTGCAAGAGCCACGGGCCCCTCCCTCTTTCCTTCCAGCTCTGCAACATTCACGTCTCCTGGGATGCAATCACGACCAATTCTTTACAAAGGTCTACTTTTATTGATATCCTGTCTATTCATCCCCTCATAGGATCTTAGTCATTCTCCATTTACAGAACCAACTATTTGCCTGTCTCACACCAAGGTCACATCTTGAAGTCAGGTTTTGACAACTGAATTCACTAATTCCTTATCAGAGGTTTAAGTTTTATGAAATACTGATCAACAATAAAAAATATTCTAAATATCTCAATATGTCCATCTTTTTCTAAGTGCTTTTTCCCCCTGGATTTTCCCTGGTTCGAAGACCTTGGAATTGGCCCTTCTGCATTATTTCAGAGCACAGACTTATGTGGTGGGACGATGTCTCTCTAGGAAGCCTCAAGACAAAGGATTCTGGAGTATGAGAGCACTGGGTTTGGATCTCAGCACTTCCCAGTGTGACTTGGAGCGAGTTAGTCTCTTTCAGCTTATCTTCTAGGGTTGCTCTAAGGATTTGATGAAATAGCACAAGAAAATTTCAGTGCCAAACCCACAGTAAAGATCCCACAAATCTATTTTACTTCCCCTTGTTGGATTTCATTTGGTTCTTATGCCACAGACATCCTCTGTACAGATGAAGTGTCCAGAGTGGTTAAGGTCCAAAGCTGCTCAAAGGACATAGAGCTCAGCTGGCAAAAAGGCTTTCTGAATCCAAATTCTCAGATCCTTGCTCTGCCCTACACCGCTTCTTTCCTCAGGCATGATGGGTCAAAACTTGGGAGGAAGAAACATGTCTAAACACAGCCAGAGCTCCCGTCTGTGACTGCAGGCTCCGCACCCTGTGCTGGGTCCATCAGTCTGGGAGCCTGCTACAGGGCATCTCCTGTGCAGCCAGTCACTGTATCTTCCAACTCCAGTGTGCCCTTCTCACCTGACATTTTGATTCTGGCATTCTTAGTTTATGAATATATCCAATCTACCATTATCATAGCCCTATATTTTAAAACTTAGGGACAGAAACCTAAATAGTCAAAGGGAAAGTTGATGATGCTACATCTACTCAGTGAGATTTTAAAGAATCATTAAAGATGAAGACGATGACGATCAGGCAGCAGCAAGGAAAATACACAGTTATACATACAACATATAAGGTATATACTATGCTTACAACTAAGCAAAATTCAGAGAAAACAGATGGAAAGGCGAAAATAAACATTAAGACAGGCTACTGTCGGAGGGGAATCAACAAAATAATTCATCTCCACTCTACATTTTAAGTCTGGTTCTGTTTTCTACAGCAAACAGCAAATAATCAAGCAAACCCGTGGGGACTCATCAGGCAGACCGACTGAGCTGCTGCTGGGTGACAGCTGCAGATGAGTCCCACCATCCTTCTGGGGCTCACGGTTGACAAGGGGAGGCCAAGGAGAACGCAGGCAGCCAGGGCGCCGCGAGGCCAGCGCCCATAGGCCGCAGCAGAGGGAGCACTCAGAGCACCAGAGAAGCCTCTTGGTTCTGGAGGCCGACAGAGCAAGTCCTGAGAGAAGAGCAGCGCTTCCCCTTGCTGGCCATCTAGACAGAGCAGGCAGAGCAGAGAGATGGCCCCGCAGACGCAGGAGCGGGACAGGGGCACACTCGGAACAGGTGGATCTGGGACTCGCACCCAGCCCGGCGTCTCCGCATTGCAGGGGAGGGCGGGGGAGAGCACAAGGGGTAGGCTGGGAAGGGAGAGCAGGGCCAGGGTCACTGCAACAGGTGTGGGTTACAACTTACCACAGAGGAAAGCCTTGCAAGGAGGACTGACCAGCACAGCATCTTAGGCCAATATTTTCTGAGTTTATAAAACTTTTTAATCTATATAGAAATGCAAAATGAATTTATGGACCTATAAGGCAAGTTTATAATATACACACACATATATATATGTATATATATATACACACATATATACACACACACACATATACATACATACATATATATATATGTGTGTGTGTGTATATATATATATAGTTTCCTAAGTAGAGGTTTTACAAGAGTCATGATTCTATTCATTTTAGCTCATGCTTCACCAAGATCTACCTGTTTAAATAAAACAATGGAGTCACACATCTACATGCCCCTAATACAGAAACCCATAGGTTTTCCTAATGAACTACTTTTAAGTAAAAAGAAAGAGATCCCATCCAAGGAATCTACATATAAGTTACTGTCACCAATGTGGTACATACTAACATTTTGGGGGTTAGGGACCCAAACCAGCCCTCATTCTCTGAAAGAGAGACCTGGAGTGGTTGTGAGGGTCCGAGGGGTCACTCCTGGGTCTGGCCCTCAGGTTTCAGGGCCCTGCACCACACGAGCACAACCAATGAAGCAGCAGCAGCTACGGTGAAGACAAGGAATGCCACGTTCTTCCTTCCTTTGCGGGTTCCCGCTTTCCCTTAGCGCTGCCCTCAGTGCGCACATCACGCCTGTTTTCATACAGCGATG